GAGGAGATGCATGATACTACTGAACAAGAGAGTGATGGTTCAGTAGATGATGATGATACTCATAGTGATGATATTCCTCAGCAGGGGGAGCCTTCATCTGAAGACGAAGCTGAAGGTACTCATGTTATTAGACGTTCTATGCGAGACATAGTTCCACAGAGAAAGTATTCCACATCCAAGTGGATACTTGTTGCTAGCGAGGGGGAGCCTGCGAGCATCGCAGGAACGAGAGAAATAAAGAAAAAGGTGGAGGGGGAGATTTGTAGGGAGTTTCCACCTTCTTTCTTGGAAGTTGCCAAGAGGCATCTCACACCTTCTTGGAAGGAGGTCTCCAACAAATAAAGATGGGAGAAGATATGGAGATAACTATGGAAGCATGGATGCAACTTCCTCTTGTCTCCAAAGTAGCCTATAAATAGAGTGTTCTATTGTTGTTCATATCATCAGTTTAGAAAGTGAGAAAAGTGTGTGAAGAGTGAAATACACTTAGTGTAGAAGTGTATTGGTGAGGATTGGTTTTTTGTAATAGTTGAGTGTGAGAGTTTGCTCCTCCTATTGTAATTCTGTTCTTGATATTGAATAGAAGAATTTTCCAATCCCAACAAAAAGGGTCATTTTGCTAACGTTATTGTTGATCTTGAAAATGAGACTACAAGGAAACTCTTAATCCAATGTGTATGACTCTATCGCGTCTCAGTCAACATGGAATACATCAATCATCCCTAATCCAAGTGACCAAGTTTTACCTGGAGAAGTTGAGAATGCCAATCGAGTTTTGGTTTCGGATGCCAATTTTTTTCCATGTGAAGCTTTATAGATACTCCGTATAATGTTCAATCTACTGAAATCTAAGACTTCATATCCAAGATTTTAAAATTCTTGTTAAAAACTTATAATATATTCGTAGCTTTCAGATTCTCCTTAAACATTGGTGGGTGTAAGCTCGAAGCATTCAATTTTCTAAATGCCTAAATGAATTTGAGGCACTACGCCACTACGGTTTTGCCTCTTCAACCTTAGTCTAGCATCACTATGTCAACATTGTAGCAGAGCGGTTGTGCAATGTCAAAATAAAAGCAACACTTCCAATGACTCAGTATTTTTGGTTGTGCAATGTCAAAATAAAAGCAACACTTCCAATGACTCAGTATTTTTTGGAATGGAAATATGATGTCATAAAGAAAAATGTCGGACTAAACCTTCTATGTTATATAACAACAGTCAGTCCATGCAATTTTCGATTCGATTTTCACTATGGATCATCCGGAAACCGTCTCTCTGTGCTTTAGTTTAGGAGTAAGACAATGTACATTCGACATCACCTATGATGTAGAAATAGCTTTACTTTTTAGTAATGAAGAATTCAGCCTGCAACTTCGTTTTAAGTCTATTTTACTCATACCAAATTTCAGGTAAAAATTCAATCGAGAAGACCGTCAAATGAATTTTTGAAGATAACTGCGCAGTTAAATAGCACAGTACATTTCAGAAAATCATTTGACTGTCTTCCCGGTTGAATATTTATCTGAAATTTAGTATGAGTAAACTAGACTTAATGAAGAATATGCTCAAACAATTCATCAAAAAAATCCATCGGAAACCGCCCCAATTGGCGACGGCCGGACGGAGCCTTCTATGTAAGGGGTGAATTACACTTTTAAGTTAGTTTGAGGGCCTATTTCACACTTTAGCCTATTAATTTACCTAGATTTATGAGACATACATTCTACAACAATTTCAAAATCTCTACCTTAAATGCACTCACACATTTACATGACTCTACATGCACTCACAAACTATTATTCCGTATATATTACTATCTATCTAAAATCTTATAAACATCAATGAAGGTTAGGGTATTTTTGGTATATTAAATGTGTTGGTGTAACACAAAGCAATCTAAAATTGTACATTATGCTCCCACCATTGCACCTTATGTTTTTACTCATGTTTCACCGTTACCTCCGTTAGATACATACGTAGTACTTTCAAGTGCTATAAATAAATAAATGATAAATGAAAATCTCAATATTAATAACCTTACTAACACCTCTTGGACTCCCTAATGAACGGTCATGGAATGATTACTAAATAGCATGCAGGTGATCATGTTTTCAAGTCAACTCAAGTCATTCACAAACTGGTGATAAATTAATAATGATAATAACTATAATAATTATAATTATAACAATAATAATTATGATTATTATTATTATTATTATAGTTATTTTTATTAATTACTGATTTTTTTATGAGTGGTATGTGCAAATTTTTTGTAGACTATACATGATAAGAGCTGATTTTGGAGGTGGTCATACCGTATTTTCTTATCATAATCAATATTTCAAATAAAAGTATATACTGAAAATTGGCTTCTTTGACACACAATTTTTAGAGCCCGTTTGATAACCTTGTTTTCTGACTTAATTGTCAGACTTATAAACAAACTTTTCCACCAAACATGTAACTTTTTTGGGCATTAAATTATATAAAAAATAAGGGAAAGTAAAGTTGAAGAAACTTGAAAACATGATAGGATCATTTGAAATGGTGACTTGAAAACATGGTGACAAGCAAATAAAATGGTGACAAGCAAATAAAATGAAAAACCAAGAGAATATAAGTATACAAATTAACATAGAAGGGTGTTATCTTAATTAAATTGAGGAGCGGGTCTGAGATCTTTGTTTAAGTAATTTAGTGAAGATAGTTTGTATTATTTCAAGTTGTTTTCCACAATAAAATTATTTATTTGGTATATTGGTGAACCTTATATTTTTCCTGATCTTTATTTATTGTACCTTTCATTTGTATCTCGTGTATTATCATGTGAGGGTCTTATATTAGATTAAATGTGAACAACCGATATTTAGACATGTACTAGATATTTTTCACAGTGTTAATGATACCTTTTCTTTTGGAAGTAGGAAAATAGGGGCTAGCCTTATGTGATTTTGCATTTTTCTATTTTATTTCTTTAATGATAAAGAAATATTAAATACTCTATTTTAAGTTGATATAATGTACATATTTCAAACAAAATATCATTGGGCATTTTATTCAATCGCGCAACGCGCGTGTAGAGAACTAGTGTATACAATATATGTGTACATATGTATACACTCATGTACGCATATACATAAACACATAAATAAAAATAAAATATACACATGATCATACAAATACTATTTTAATATTCACTCAAGCACACAACACTACTATAATACGGAGTATATATTTATATACTCACGTTGAGAAAAGTATTAATATTATAAAGAATTTATGTTAAAAACAACCTAACATAAAGAATTTATGTGAAGTGTGCATATTTAAAGAATAGTATTATAAAACTGTTTTATAGAACTAAAACAGTTTGAAAATTCTAAAATAGAATTGACATGTTTTTTATTCCCAAAATAGGAGTAATTACTGCAACGTTTGGAAAATATTGCTATGTTTGAAGTCTGGTACTGCCAAAATATGATAGTAATTAGTCCTATTTTGGGAATAAAAACATAGCAATCCTATTTTGGAATTTTCATACCTTTTTAGTCCTATTTCGGGTGTTATTCTCATTTTTAAGTAGTCTCTTAAAAAACATATGCATTCTACTAAAAATATATGCATATTCTTTATATACACTCACGCTAAGGCTAAAATGGTTAAAACATTTTGCAACGAAAGTGATCGATCCTACACCCTGCGATGGAAACAAGTTTTTAATGCTCCTAACTTTTAATGTTTATTTTTTACTCTCAATTTGAAAAGTAAAATTAGTGAAATAGCAGCAGCCAACATAGTTAATCGTAAATATGGATGTTTTTACGACTGTGATATGTTCCAATATGTTCCCAACCAGACCAGACTAGACTAGACTTGGATAGTCATAAAAATACAAAGAAACTGATCAGACCAGTTCAGACCAGACCACGGTTAAGGGGTTGCATCAATTTGTAATGTGTCAAAATTCGAACTATGGAAAATGTGAGACTCATCGGTAAAAATTGGTGCAGATTACATAAAAATGCTGAATAGAAATTGATAAAAGATTGACCATAAGTCCAACCTATGTTAATAAAACCAGGCCGAGTGATCAGGCAGATCAAACCGGTCAACGCTGAAAAAGACAGGCCGATCAAATCAAACCAAACCAGATCAGCAAAATACAGTCCAAGTGAAAACATCCATGTCTAGAAAGTATGGAGAAAAACCAAGAAGTTTGAAAATAATATTGAATGATCCAAATTTAAAATTTGATGGAAGCGGACGTCTCCTTATGGATTAGGGTTGGAGTTTCTCGGCGGCGTTCTTCTTCTTTTCGATCGCGAAGGGAAGACAGCATCGGCTCGAGGTGTTTGGTTGGGCTGGCACGGCCTTGGGACTGGTGCACAGCAGATTGTTGAAGGCTTTCGAATGCAGCAGGGGTCGGGCAGTTTTGGATCGCGGTTTCGCTTGGATCATGGCCTGCTCGTTTGTGTTACTGGTTTCGATTGGGGAAATACCACAAGGCGGAGATTCCGGGTTCACTCGTGCTATAATTGCAGGGGTAAGAAGGTGTCTTTGGAATTTGTGGTGGTAGAATCGCAAGGAATTTTTCAAGACGAAGGTTTGATGATCCGCCCCCCTCCTGAGCCACTGCCAAGGATGACGCTTGAAACACGGATTCGTTTTCGCTGTCAGTTTAGTTTATTCTATTTCGTTTTACTCTTGTTGAGTCTCTTTGACATGATGAATTCTGTCGTTGTTGCTTTCTGTATTGTCGTTTTCAGTCAGACTCTTACATTAGGCAGGGGTGATGGAAGTTTTGCTCTAGCCACGTTTGGCTCATTTAGACCCATTATAGGACAAGCGAATCATATTGCTCTATACAGGGTGATTGATTCTTCAGCTGGTCCGAGGGTCGGTGGCTGGAAGTATTTCCTTTGTCGTTTGAATCCCTTGCTGAATGTTTTATTATCAACATAAGTCCTCTTGTTACAAAAAAAATTAAAATTTGATATATGATTTCCCTTTAAATAATCTCAATTTCTCAATCATAATCTTCAAAAATATCTTTCATTTCACAAAAATGATTCCAAAAAACACTTCGAAATTCTTCCAAAAAAAAAAACACTTCGAAATTCGAAAATAACGGATTAAACTAACTCAACAATGCTCCGTATATAAACCATCATATTCGAAATTCACATACCGCCTTCTTCCTTCTTCCTGCGTGAGAGTGCTTCAGACCTGTGGACTACTCAACTGAGTGCCTTCCAAGAACTCAACTTCCGGCCGGTTTGGCGTCATAGATAGAGAGCCACAGCTATACTACCGCAAAGTCTCTGTATCGCTGCTGCCCCGGCGGACGACCGGACATCTTTTCCGTTCAGATTTGCGTGCCTACTCTCTTTCTTCTTTCATCTTGGACGACTTTCTTTTATCATCGCATTTCCGTTTAGGTAGATAAATTTCTGTTTCTTGAGAGCATTTCATTTTAAGAATTTGATATATGATATAGCACAGAGTTATGGGACACAAGAAGCGCAACAAGCCTTCTCGCTCTAAACCCTCGGGTTCTCGCGCCGGTGAACTAGCGGAATCCCTAGAATCGTTAACTGTCAATGATTCAGAGGGGTCTGATTCAGCCTCTTATGAAAGTATTAAGGTTGAGTGTGAGAAGGCATTGAGCGCCCTGAGCAGGGGGAACCATAACAAAGCCCTAAGGGCGATGAAGAACTTGTGTGTGAAACACAGTAACTCGCCTTATGCTGCTTTGATTCACCGTGCCCATGTAACAGTTTACCAGAAAATGGCCTCTTTAGGAGGTGAGTACTTAAACAAAGATCAGCATATGAAGGATGCCATCGAGTCTGCCAAGAAAGCAACTGTCATGTCCCCCGACTCGATCGAGTTTGCGCATTTCTATGCCAACTTGTTGTATGAAGGGGCTAATGAGGGAAATGGGTATGAGGAGGCTGTTAAAGAGTGTGAGAGGGCACTGGCAATAGAAAGCCCAGATGATCCAGGAAAGGAATTGTTACTGGAGAGTCAAGTGAGGCTGCCCACTCCCGAGGCTCGGATTAAACAGGTGGTGAATGAAATTAGGAATTTGATTCAGATGTCTCACATTGCTTCCATTTCCACTTTGATGAAACATCTGCGTAATGGGGATGAGACGTTCAGATTGATACCAATAACGAGCGGGGCTATGGAGTTGAGTTCGGTACAGCCAAGAAGGCCCAGTGAGATTAAAAAGGCCACTAAGACACCTGAGGATAGAAGGCCCGATGAGATTAAGAAGGCAACTAAGACACCTGAGGATAGAAGGAAAGAGATCGAAGCTCAAGTGGCTGCAGCAAGGTGGCTATTGATGCAGAATTCAGAATCTGGTCCGTCACAGAATGAAGTGGCTAATAAGAGAAAAAAGCATGAGGAGAGTCAAGTGAAGCTGCTCGCTGCTGAGGCTCGGGTTCAAAATATCGAGGATGAGTTTAGGAATTTGATTCAGAAAATTAACATTGCTTCCATTGCCACTTGGATGAAACAACTGCGCGATGGGGATGGGAAGTCTAGATTGATATCAGCAAGCAGTGTGCTGAATGACTTAAGTTCAGTTCAGCCAAGACGGCCAACTAAGACACCTGAGGAGAGAAGGAAGGAGATTGAAGCTCAAGTGGCTGCAGCAAGGCTATTGATGCAGAAGTCAGAATCGGGCCAGTCACTAAATGAAGGAGACAAGGGTTTGGATCCCTCTACAGGTTAGATCAGTAAACATCAGTTGGTAGAAATGCATAGTAAAGAGAACATTATAATTTATATAGCCCCCACCCCCCAAACAAAACGTTAGGCATTTTGTTAACTCACTGGTTGTAGTCCACAAAAATGAATTCCACTGCAAATTGCATGGAACATGCTTTTGCCAAGAACTTTGAACTGTAATTCTTAAACAGTTCTAACAGGAAGCACATGGCTTATAGATTTGTATTAGTCTCAGTACATTAATATCACTTCCATTAATATTAGTCACTCCTGGAATGGAATCTGTTTTCCACATATTTTTTTTTACGTTTTATTCTACATGATAATTACTCCAAGCTTACTTAGGGGGTTTGGCAGAGAAAGATGCCACTGAGAAATCTGATGCTGCAAGAGAAGCATTCCTGGCAGAGCTTGCCCTTGATTCAGAGAAGAATTCAGGTGGAGGAAATGATAATTTAAAACATGCAACTGAAAAGACAAAAGCTAAAAAAAGGAACAAGGACTATCGAAAAAGAAAGGGTGCAAAGGTTTACTAGTAGTATTTATAATGTATTTTATTCCTTTTTATGGAAGCGTAACTTTTCACTGGACCATAAATGATTCTTTACCTACATCTTCTCAGGCATCCACTAAAATTGTGCAGCCCATTCATGACCATGAGACTTCTGAATGCATGTATGTATTTTTATAATTAAATGAACACCACACATGTAAACATGCTAAGAGTATTCAAAGAAAGCTTAAACTACCTTTTATATTCTGCCCATGTCTGTATCATCACAGTTCTTCTCGAGATGTTACTGATAAGGAAAATGAAGGGGGAGAACTTATAATTGTTGGAAGCAAAGATTCTCCATCTCTGGAGGAGTGCAAGCTAGGAAATATGCTTGAAGAAGAGGAAAGAAAGCTCGAAGAGACATCGGAGTACCAAAGGAAAATTGAAAATGAGGCTAAACTCAAGTATCTTGCTGGGGAACATGAGGTAGTTGGAACAGCACTTTCAGAGAAGATGCCTGGAGGAAATGATAATTTAAAACATGCAACTGAAAAGACAAAAGCTAAAAAAAGGAACAAGGACTATCGAAAAAGAAAGGGTGCAAAGGTTTACTAGTAGTATTTATAATGTATTTTATTTTATTCCTTTTTATGGAAGCGAAACTTTTCACTGGACCATAAATGATTCTTTACCTACATCTTCTCAGGCATCCACTAAAATTGTGCAGCCCATTCATGACCATGAGACTTCTGAATGCATGTATGTATTTTTATAATTAAATGAACACCACACATGTAAACTTGCTAAGAGTATTCAAAGAAAGCTTAAACTACCTTTTATATTCTGCCCATGTCTGTATCATCACAGTTCTTCTCGAGGTGTTACTGATAAGGAAAATGAAGGGGGAGAACTTATAATTGTTGGAAGCAAAGATTTTCCATCTCTGGAGGAGTGCAAGCTAGGAAATATGCTTGAAGAAGAGGAAAGAAAGCTCGAAGAGACATCGGAGTACCAAAGGAAAATTGAAAATGAGGCTAAACTCAAGTATCTTGCTGGGGAACATGAGGTAGTTGGAACAGAACTTTCAGAGAAGATGCCTGCACAAGTACCTGATGTTTATTCGAGATACAAGGAAGATCAAGATGGACGTGAGCAAGGGAAAAATAAAGCCAAGGTGATTTGTATCAGACAAACTGTATTTCAACTTTTACCAGACCATGTGGCTTTGGGAATCCTTTTAGTTATAAAGAATGTGTTGGTAGGATTCATTGCTAAATAACTTTTGAGACACCTTAAGAAATTCTAACATATCCTTTCACAATTTCAGGATTCAATGTTTCCAACAGATGAATCTCCTGACATTTTGGAAGGTCTTCTAAGGAACACTGCTGATGTTGATGCAAATAGAGCGGGTATGCCTCTTTCTATGTACCAGTAAAACTTCACTATATTTGAAGGTAATGTTTGCAAACTCCAAATGATTTCCCTCCTTTCGCTTGTTTAGATAATCAGAATGAAGGAATGCTTGAAGCTGAAACTGCAGTTTCTGATCAGACTGGAAGAAAGAGTAGGCACCAGAAGGGATTGAAAAAAATTCATGAAGGAAAGTATCAAACTGTTTCTTCTGATGCAGATAAAAACAGGATCATTGGACTGATGTCATTTGAAAATTTGAAAGGTCAGTGGAAGTGTATATTTTTACACGTTTCATTTCTAACCTTTGTGGTGATTTCACTACTACAATTTAAAAACACTATTAACATGAGTTTAAACAAAACACTATTTATGGGACATGAGGTACTTGTGCTGCTCGTACCTCTTATAATCTGCTTACATTTTTTAGTTGATAGTATGGTTAAATCACTAAAGTGGGAAAAGGAAGGTCAAAGGTTTAATTGCACTACACCAATAGTGCTTGTTAAGGCATTGCTTGTTATAAGCTGGAAGGCTGTAACCTGAACTAAAAAGAATTAACATTGACATACAAATGTGCTGCATTTGGTAATGTCACATCTTGTGTATCGGTAATTTCTAGTTGGTAACAGATTGATTTCCTAGTAACTCTTGACTTCCAAATGAGAATAAATTCCACTTTTGGTCCTACGAGTATTGCACCGATTCCACAATTGGTCCACGTCTTTGACTTTGACCACTTTTGGTACATGACTAATGTATTTTCACCCATATATGGTCCTTCCGTCAATGTTTCCGGTGGTTACAATTGCAGGAAAAGGACCACAAATGGTCAAAAAACATTAGTCAAGTATCACAAGTGGATAAAGTGGAAGACGTGGACTAAATGTGGGATTGACACAAAACTCATACGACCAAAAGTGGAAGTAATTCTCCAAACGATCAGTTATAGCAGCTTTATTATCAACATTTCGGCTACTACCCTCATCTTATTTGTCGCCTATTTAATGCACATAAATATTCGTTTATATGCCTTATTCAGCGGTGATATTAAACTCACACTTATACAAGGAAGATCAAGATGGACGTGAGCAAGGGAAAAATAAAGCCAAGGTGATTTGTATTAGACAACTGTATTTCAACTTTTACCTGGACATGTGGTTTTGGGAGTTCTTTTAGTTATAAAGAATGCGTTGGTAGGATTCATTGCTAAATAACTTTTGAGACACCTTAGGAAATTCTAACATATCCTTTCACAATTTCAGGATTCAATGTTTCCAACAGATGAATCTCCTGACATTTTGGAAGGTCTTCTAAGGAACACTGCTGATGTTGATGCAAATAGAGTGGGTATGCCTCTTTCTATGTACAAGTAAAACTTCACTATATTTGAAGGTAATGTTTGCAAACTCCAAATGATTTCCTCCGTTCGCTTGTTTAGATAATCAGAATGAAGGAATGCTTGAAGCTGAAACTGCAGTTTCTGATCAGACTGGAAGAAAGAGTAGGCACCTGAAGGGATTGAAAAAAATTCATGAAGGAAAGTATCAAACTGTTTCTTCTGATGCAGATAAAAACAGGATCAGTGGACTGATGTCATTTGAAAATTTGAAAGGTCAGTGGAAGTGTATATTTTTACACGTTTTCATTTCTAACCTTTGTGGTGATTTCACTACTACAATTTAAAAACACTATTAACATGAGTTTAAACAAAACGCTATTTATGGTACATGCGGTACTTGTGCTGCTCGTACCTCTTATAATCTGCTTACATTTTTTAGTTGATAGTATGAATAAATCACGTTGCTTGTTATAAGCTGTAAGGCTGTAACCTGAAGTAAAAAGAATTAAGATTGACATACAAATGTGCTGCATTTGGTAATGTCACATCTTGTGTATCAGTGATTTCTAGTTGGGAACAGATTGATTTCCTAGTAACTCTTGACTTCCAAATGAGAACGAATTCCACTTTTGGTTCTACGAGTATCGCACCTATTCCACAATTGGTCCACGTCTTTGACTTTGACCACTTTTGGTAAATGACTAATGTATTTTCGCCCGTATATGGTCCTTCCGTCAATGTTTCCGGTGGTTAAAATCGCAGGAAAAGGACCACAAAATGGTCAAAAAAACATTAGTCAAGTATCACAAGTGGATAAAATGGAAGACGTGGACTAAATGTGGGATTGACACAAAACTCATACGACTAAATGTGGGATTGACACAAAACTCATACGACCAAAAGTAATTCTCCAAACGATCAGTTCTAGCAGCTTTATCATTTCGGCTACTACCCTCATCTTATTTGTCGCCTATTTAATGCACATAAATATTCGTTTATATGCCTTATTCAGCGGTGATATTAAACTCACACTCATACAAGGAAGATCAAGATGCACGTGAGCAAGGGAAAAATAAAGCCAAGGTGATTTGTATTAGACAACTGTATTTCAACTTTTACCAGAACATGTGTCTTTGGGAATTCATTTAGTTATAAAGAATGTGTTGGTAGGATTCATTACTAAATAACTTTTTAGACACCTTAGGAAATTCTAACATATCCTTTCACAATTTCAGGATTCAATGTTTCCAACAGATGAATCTCCTGACATTTTGGAAGGTCTTCTAAGGAACACTGCTGATGTTGATGCAAATAGAGCGGGTATGCCTCTTTCTATGTACAAGTAAAACTTCACTGTATTTGAAGGTAATGTTTGCAAACTCCAAATGATTTCCCTCCATTCGCTTGTTTAGAGAATCAGAATGAAGGAATGCTAGAAGCTGAAACTGCAGTTTCTGATCAGACTGGAAGAAAGAGGAGGCGCAAGAAGGGATTGAAAAAAATTCATGAAGGAAAGTATCAAACTGTTTCTTCTGGTGCAGATAAAAACATGGTCAGTAGACTGATGTCATCTGAAAATTTGCAAGGTCAGTGGAAGTGTATATTTTTACACGTTTTCATTTCTAACCTTTGTGGTGATTTCACTACTACAATCTAAAAACACTATTAACATGACTTTAAACAAAACACTATTTATGGGACATGTGGTACTTGTGCTGTTCGTACCTCTTATAATCTGCTTACATTTTTTAGTTTATAGTAGGGTTAAATCACTAAAGTGGGAAAAGGAAGGTCAAAGGTTTAATTGCACTACACCAATAATAGGAAGGCCTTGCTTGTTATAAGCTGTAAGGCTGTAACCTGAACTATAAAGAATTAAGATTGATATACAAATGTGCTGCATTTGATCCACAAGATCGACATCTTGTGGATCTTTAATTTCTAGTTGGGAACAGATTGATTTCCTAGTAACTTTGGACATCCAAATGGTCAGTTATAGCAGCTTTATTATCAACATTTCGGCTACTACCTTCATGTTATTTGTTGCCTATTTAATGCACATAAATATTTGTTTATATGCCTTACTCAGGGATGATATCAAAGTCACACTCCGAAATATGTTATTCTGGAGAGTTACCCATGGAAGGGGCCACTGAAACAGCCGGAGTTAAGGTATATGGCACAGGGCTGCAGAATGAAATTGGGGAATATAATTGCTTCTTGAATGTCATTATCCAGGTCTGTAGCTATGTCAGGTGGGCTTTACTATTGTTTATTAAGTCCTGATCCTTTTCTGAGGATTGTAGTTTCACATCTTTCCCTTTCTGTTACATTTCAGTCGTTGTGGAATTTAAGCCACTTTCGAGATGAATTTTTGAGATCATCATCGAATCACGTTCATATTGGCAATCCTTGTGTTACATGTGCTTTATATGGCATTTTTACTGCTCTTTGTTTGGACACGCAAAGAGAAGCGGTTGCTCCTACCTCATTGCGGACTGCTTTGAGCAACCTATACCCTGATAGCAATTTCTTCCAGGAGGTAATGTTTATCCTTGGGCTTTGCTTGAAATTTTCACTAGTTTTATACAAGTATAAGTTTTTTAAAACACACGGTTATATTCTGATCAGCATGGCACTATGATCTGCAGGGGGAGATGAATGATGCTTCAGAAGTGTTAGATGCAATATTTGATTGCCTTCATCAGTCGTTTGCTTCAGATTTGGGTTCTGCTGAGACAAAATCAACATCTACGCGCTTGGATTCCTGGGATTGTACTAACTGTGCTTGTATTGTGCATTCTATTTTTGGAATGGATATCTTTGAAAAAATGCTCTGCCCCAAATGCAACTTAGAATCTAGACATCTGAAATATACTGCTTTCTTTCACCTTATTAATGCTAATGCATTGAGAATGACAAAGGTATCCTTTGCACAAGTATTGCTTTCATTGATAATAGTTTCTTTTTTACTTTTTGGCCATTAATCTTAGAGGTGAAATCACTTTGGTAAGGTAGATGTGTGTGGATTTTTACATAACAAAGACATCTGATCTTGCATTCTAGGTCAAGCATCAAGAAAGCTCATTTGATGAACTTATGAATCTTGTCCAGAGGGACCACCTGTTGTCTTGTGATCCGGATGCTGGTGGGTGTGGGAAACATAACTTCATTGACCATTTCTTGTCAACTCCACCACATGTTTTCACGATAGGTAATTCCCTTTTCGCCTTTGCCGATTTCTACATTTACATAATCTGCATGTGCTGTAGTAGGAATATCTCAGCAATTTGGTGTAGTATAGTTTTTTTAATAAAAAAAGCAAAGCCATCAACTTATTGCTTAAATATTTTTAGATTGTGATGCTTTGTTTTTTCTCTGCAGTTCTAGGATGGACGAATACTTGTGAGAGTCTTGATGACATAAGAGCAACATTGGCAGCCATATCTACTGAGATTGACATTAGTGTCCCTTACCATGGTTTAGATCCAAACAACAGATATAGCCTAGCCTCAGTAGTAAGCCTCACACTTCTCTCTTGTGTAGCCGGTTAACTGGTGTCCATTCATTTATGGCTATATGTACTTGTGAATACTGCTCACAGTGTTTACTTGTTCAGTACTTCAACTTGAAAAAAATGTCTGATATTTTCAAGTTTGTTCAGTACTACTAATAATAACAACAACATTACCCCCGTGCCGCAAAGGCCTCCCACCTATGGTGGGGTAAGGGGCGACTTCCATCCTACTACTGTGGTTGTTAATTTGATGTGTGTGGGATATCAATTGTGTAGTCTTCCTCAAATGTTCATTTTCAGGTTTCCTATTATAGACATCATTATCACTGTGTTGCTTATAGCCGTCATCATGAGAAGTGGATAATGTATGATGACGTGACTGTGAAGGTAAATTTTCAGTGCCATTTCATCACGTGCTCTTATCATTATGAACGCTGAACAATAATGTGCCTGTTTATCATCTTTGGATATTTGAACTTCAGGTGATTGGCAGCTGGGACGATGTTCTCATGATGTGTATAAAGGGGCATTTGCAACCTCAAGTCTTTTTCTATGAAGCTGCAAACTAATTTTGCGTGGTCGGGTGTTGGGGAAGCTTTGATCCTGGCTCGTAAGCTGTATAGTTCTTGTATACCCACAAATTTGTAAATGTCAAAAGGAATTTTATAGAAAGCGAAACAGTCTAGAATCAGTTAGCATATTGAAGAGAAAAGAGAAAAGAGAAAAGGTAAAATCACAGACAATCAATCTGTGATCGTAGTTGTATAATTGTACAAATTTTGGAAAATAAGAAAGGAAAAAAGGCCTTTGTATAGATATATTGATGAGGGTTGTACTTTTATTTAATACTAGTACAAAACTAGCATAATATCCATGCATATGCACACGGAAAAAATAGTTGGTTCATATACATTTTGCTCCCTGAACACAAAAAAACTTCAATTAGCACCCCCCGAATTCGATAAAAAGATTCAAATTTCATTTTTACCTGGTCACAAGCCGGTCATTGCCACATTACCTGGTAGGGTGCCAAACGTGCATGTGATGTGGCATCTTAAGGGGTCAAATAAGCCCCTGAACCCGACCGAATCATTCAATTTACCCCCTCAACCCTTAAAAAACGTCAAAATTACGAAAAATAGAAATAAAAAATAAAAATGAAAATAAAAAATAGAATAAATAATAAGTCAAAATATAAAATATAAATATTTTTATATTTTTAGTAAATTCAAAATAAAGATATAAAATATAAACTAAAAGAAATTAGTTCCTATATATAATACGTAAAAAAGACTTCAATATATTTATAATTAATATAAATATGTAGTTACTATTTTTATATTTTAATTCTTATATATGAGTAATTTTTATGTTACTACATATAAAAAAAAAGTGTAATCGGTAACTTTGAAAAAGAAATAGTTACATAAGAATTGTATATTTATTTTTAGTATATTTTTAATCAAATTAAGGAATATGAAACAAAAAATACCAATGGATAATTTAAACATAATGCTTCGTACGGAGTATAGATTATCAAACAAAAAACCTAAAATTTGTGTTATATTACAAACCATTAGACATAATATATAAAATAAAAATTTAAATATAGTTGGTAAAAATACATTGTTTATTTCTTATATGAAATATACGTAGTAGTTATAAAATATGGAAATAAAATTAAAGATTTTTTTAGTTTATATTTTACTCTTTTTATTTTGAATTAACCGTGAACGGTAAATATTTCATATTAATATATCTTATATTTTAGACATGTATTTTATTTATAATTTTAATTTATATTTATTATTTTTACTTTATTTTATTTATAAAATTTGACTTTTTTTAGGGCTGAGGGGTAAATTGAACGATTCGGTCATGTTCAGAGGCTTAGTTGAGCCTAGGGATGGCAATGGGGCAGGTTTGGGGCGGGGTTTCGCTCCCCCATCCCCGCCCCATGTCTAAAAAAGTTCCCCCCATCCCCGCCCCATCCCCCGTCACTCCCCGACCCGCCCCATCCCCGCCCCATGTTGCTGTCCCCACACGGGTGCCCACGGGTGCCCCCATATATATTTTAATTATCGTATTTGTGTATTTTTTTAAATCCATTTTATAGATAAATAAACATATATAGCACTGAAAGAGTTAAACCAGATAAGTAAAATAAATTTAAAGTAAAAAAATCAACATCACCCATTAAAATTGTTACGTAATAGTAATAGTAATAATAATAATAATAATAATAATAATATTACTAATAATAATAATAGTAATAGTAATAGTAATAGTAATAGTAATAATAATAATAATGATGATGATGATGATGATGATGATGGTGGTGGTGGTGGTGGTTGTGGTGGTGGTGGTGGTGGTGGTGATGATGATGATGATGATGATCATAATAATAATAATAAGAATAAGAACAACAACAACAACAACAATTAGTATTGTTGGTAACGGCCAATGAAATATTAAGCTTAATTGTTAGAGTTTTGAAAGGTGCTTCAAAGAGAACTTTTAGTGATGATGGCTAATGGTTTTCTTTCAGGAAAACTATCAAATTAGCCCCCGCACTATAGTGAAAATGACGATTAAGCCCTCGTACCTAAAAACACCCGATTGAGTTCCCGAAGTCTTAAGAATTGATCAGATTAGCATTTTAGCATGTAAGCTTCAAGTTCACGTTTAAACAGCCCACGTGGCGGACCACTTGTCAGCCCACATGGGTTTGTTTTCCTTTTTCCTTTGATTTTTTTTCTCTTTCCTTGCTTCTCCATTCGCACACACCAGTTTGATCAACGGGAGGATTTCAGTTTTTGCCCGCACCGCCAAGGACTCCAGCCTCCAACTCCGAGGACTGCTGCGACCATCTCCCAGGGTTGCGGCTGCCATCACTGGAGTTGGAGTTCGTGGCCGGCCATCGCCGGAATCCTGGAGTGAAGCAGCTAATGCCTAAGTGAGGTAAAGAGCGGCGGCTCACGACAGTGAAGGGCGGCGGCTGACTGCAGCGATGTCCGACGGCTAATTGCAGTAGACCAGTGGATCGGAGTCTGTCGGCTAAGGGATTTCGCCTGCGACGGCGCAGATCGGTTAATTGCAGTGGTACATGTGTGGTGGCTGCTGGTTGGGTGGTGGAGCGGGGCAGTGAGTTCAGTGCCAGCGGCACAACCGCACAAGGGAGGTGCCGACAATGCTGCTGCCTGATGGGAAGAGGTATGTTGTATGCAGACGGCCTGCACAGAAGAGAAAAGAAAAGGAAAGGGAAAGAAAACAAAAGAAATCCACATAGGCTGCCACGTGGGCTGTTTAAATGGGAACTTGAACCTTACTTGCTAAAATGCTGAATTGATTGATTTTTAAGAGTTCAAGAGCTCAATTGGATATTTTTCAAGTACGAGGGCTTGATTGTTATTTTCAATATAGTACGATGTTTTTTTCTTTTTCTTATTAATTTATTTATATTATATGTTTATGTATTTCCTTTCTTCCTTATCAAGAAAACATTCCTCTTCCTCCCCCCCCTCTCCTCTTCCTCCTCCTCCTTAATATTGAGAATGTAATAATGAGAATCGTGATATCGGCTTCATATTTTATAATCACTTTGATTTTCTTATGTTTTAATATATCTACAATTAATCTGTATGAATCCAATAAGTGAATTTGATGTAATATTATACTTTTGAAATATGCATGAATATAACATTGTAAAATGAGTATTACCCCAATATCAAATTGTGAAATAGCATCGAAAAATTCAAATAGCTAATTTAAAATCTCTACCATGCTCAAAATGAGCATACATAAACTACAAAATAAGTATCGAAAAATTAAAAAAAGTTCATTTTAAAGTTCTACTATGCTCAACTTTTTATTTTTGTATGCCCATATCAGTAAAATTACGTATATATACAATGAAATCGGCGACCTCGACTGTTCACTCCCATGGAAATCAGATTCTATAAGGTTGAGGTCTTTCGCTCATCGCTTGCGGCTGGAATCACTCGTCAATTGCAGAAATTTGCTGGTCCAGCGATCATCGGTTGTCATTGGAGGCTGCTAGCGACTCGTCCAAGCAGAACTTGCCGGAAAATCTCCATCAATTTTCACTCCTCGTCCGTCGCTGAATCTGAAGGTTAGTCGCGGACTTGTCACTTGGGTCTATGATGTCCGCCCCCCGGAGGAAGTCACTTGTGGCTGATGGTCGTCTGTCTCACTAAAGGTTGCTGGTGCGCAACAAATCCAAAAAGTCCGACTATGGACATGGTACAATCGGATGTACGATATAATTTATCTCGGAAAATATAGTGGAAATTGAGATTATTTATTTAATGTTTTTAAGGAAAACGTAAAAAAGCTAATAAGTATTGGTCAAATAAAAAAAGAGCTTTATGTGAAAACTTAAAAGAGAGAAACTAACTTCATAACTGAATAAACCAGAGCGAAGAGATATATGTAGTAATTTTAATGGCAAAAATGCAATGCTATTTCAGCATATAGGCAGTGATAGACTCAGAAAAACAAAGCTATGAGCGGGCCCGGTCCTGACATTTTTTGGGCCCGGGGCAATACAAACATAGTAGGCCTCAGGGATACTGTGTAAATATTTATAATAATTTTTTGTTATAAAAATATATAGTAAAGTTAAACAATTTTGTCATCCAAATACGAGTATAACACATCAAAGAAATCAATAAAGCAGTTAATTAGAAAAAAAAAATTATTGAATTATTTTATATGTCACATTTGAGGATACAATGTACCTAGTACAACTATTAGTTGCAATAAAGAATTTCGAATTAGGTAAAGATGTGAAAGATATATTGTGCATATACAGAGTAACTTTTTCATATTTTAAAATAAAGAGAAAGAGACAAATAACCCTCGAACTATTTGTGATTTTGCAATCAGACCCTTGAACCAGAAGACATGCAAATATACCCCTCAACTCATTGAAAATTAAGCAATCAGATCATTTTTACCTGCTGGTGCAGGTAAGGAGATGATAAATTACCGACACCAGCAAGTAAAAGGATCTGATTGCTTATTTTTCAATGAGTTCAGGGGTGTATCTGTAAATCTACCGGTTCATGGGCCTGATTGCAGAATCACAAATAGTTCGTGGGCTTATTTATCCCTTTTCCTTAAAATAAAGTGCAAGTTTCTAAATCATGAATACTATATATAGTTCAATCTTAACCTTATATAAAAGAATTAGAGACAACTAGTAAAATACTATCAACGAATCATGAGTATAAATGAGAGAAGTAGATCAAAAGAACATTTATACGCTAAGCCATAATGAATCAAAAGAAATGGTGAAGTACGTTCTCAATGAATTCTAATGTGGACGTTTTAAAAATGAATTGAAGGTATAAAAAAATTATATTTGTTTTTTATTTTTTATAGATTTTTATGTATATATGATTAATATATTAATATATATATCCATATACACATAATTATGAAATTTATGGGCCCTAACGGAGCAATGGGCCCTGGGCGCATGTCCCTTTGCCCATGCCCCAGGACCGGCTCTGGCTATGAGGTCCCTACCCTAATGTAATTCTAGAATTAATAAAAAAAATTAAAGATGCATATCGTTTTGTAGTTAACATACATCGATGAAAATCAACATTTATCTTTCTCTCAATCCAGGATTAGCTTCCAAAGATTCAAAATCAACATGGGTTGGTCATTTAGATTATAAGCCAATAGATTCACTTTCACCATAAGAATTATGACCAGGGTGGGTGTGCACGCATGACGGCGTGATATTGGCCGGCCGCACTAGGCCTTCACCCGTCTAGGCACCTGG